AAGTAAGTTTCATACTAACCAAAACCTTTTAACCAATTTTTGTAGGATCGGCCCATAAATGACCCTACCCCCCCATATAAGGTCCCCTCCTGAAAATGAGTTTAACACTCATTACTGGCCCCAAAATGCAAGTATAGCGATGAAATTCGACATAAATAAGTTTCATGTAAGCCAAAATCTTTCTACCAAATTTTTTGGGAATCGGTCCATAAATGACCCTACCCCCCATATAAGGTCCCCTTTAGAAAATTACTTTCACACTCATTACTGGCTAAAAAATACGAATATAGCAATAAAATTTAACACAGTTAAGTTCCTCGCGAGCCAAAATCTTTTTAATAACTTTTATGTGAATAGGTCCATAATTGGCCCTACTCCCCCTATTGGGTCCACTTCAGGAAATAGCTTAAACGCTTACTACTTACTGTCTTAAAAATACGAGTAGAGCGATGAAATGCTACACACGTAAGTTTCTTACGAGCCAAAACCTCTGTACCAATTTTTTTGGATCGGCCCATAAATGACCCTTCCCCCATATAAGGTCCCCCTCTGCAAATATCTACAATGCTCATTACTGGCTTAAAAATATGAATGTGACGAAAATTGACGCACATAAGTTTAATCTCTCCACCAAATTTAGGGAGGATCGGTATATAATTTACCCTACCGCCCATATAAGGTCCCTTTCAGAAAATTACTTAAACGATCATTACTGGCTTAAAAATATGAGTTATGAAATTCGCTCCGAATTTCATGTGGAATGTGTCGGTAATACACAAAAGGTTCCCTTCAGAAAAGAGTTTTGGTTAATAAACTACGAGTGTTCCTTATTTGAAATACGAGTATAGCCCTGAATGTACAAAATTTTATGAGTATCGGTTCATAATTGACGCTCACGGTTTAAGAATTGAAATAAAATATATTTTTTTTAATTAATATTTTGTTAGTTCAAAAGAGCTCGGGCCATAAATGACTTAAGCCATATTCCAAATATCACGCTGATGTTTATAGGGGAGCATTCCTTTTACGGCATACGGTTTGATGGTGGGTATATGAGATTCGGCACAGCCGAATATAACACTCTTACTTGTTATTATTATTGCTTTGTAATGCTGCCGGTATATAGTAGTCATTACCTACAATATATAATACTAAGTATTAGCTCGCCTTTGTCTAGTTCTTTATGTATAATTTAAAAATCTGGAAAATAAATTAATCATTTCCATAGAATTTATACCAGTTCTTCCCTCGATATTAATTTTCAAAACTCTTTAGTATTTGTGTTTCATCCTTCAATTATGAATAATAGCAACATTTTTGTTCAATTTTTGTTGTAGAATCAACTTATATTACACAAAATCAAGTTTTTATTCCGTTCATCAGCGAAATTCATCAAAAGTCAATAACGGAGGTCAGTATTGATTATTTCTTAAGAAAGTATGAGGTCTTAAAAATTAAAGAATTAAATATAAATTTCTTTAACCTCTCATAACTTTTTTTTTTTTTCCATTAAATGTTGTTTATTTTGTTGTAATTTTTTGTTTTTTTTTTATGGTTTGCGCCGTGTTGCAACAAAACAATGTTAAAAATGTTGAAACGAGTGAGAACAAAAGACATGTTTCAACTTTTTGGCATTGTTCTAAAAATTTTTTTGGTGGTTTTTAATTTCTTCCTGAAACCCCAAACAACAAGCAGATGATTCTTTTTTTTCCAAATCATTTAGGCAGTTAAATAAATATTGTTTAAAGAAAACCCCAGAAGAAGAACAAACAAAGTTTTAAAATGAATTAAGAATAAACTAAAGAACTGAAATGAAGAACAAAATAACCAAACATAAAATATACAACTTGAATTGTTAGATGGATGGACGGATGGGTTGTATGGATGGATTGGTTGGTTGGTTGGTTGGTGGTTTGACTGTAGAGTAGATGGACGTTTTATATGAATTGTTGACTGTTAAAAACTTTGAGTAGAAATCGTCAAAATTCATCAAGTTGTGTCGGTTGATGCTGTTTTTTTTTTAGCAAGAAACCAGTAAAAAATTTTGTTTTTAAACCAAGACAACAACAAAATGTAATGAAAAAAACAAAAAACATATTTTACTGTTTTATGCTTAGTGCCACAAAAAAAAAGAACAGAAAACTTAAAAAAAAGTTTTAAAACATCCCAAGCCGTTTGAATTGGCTTAATGTTGTTTATTGTTGTAGTTAATGTGACGTCTTACCAAGCCACACACACACACAGACACAGACACAAAGAAATTGTGCTTTAAAATTTTCAAATGGGGGAGCAAATTACCCTTTGGGGCGGCTGCGAATGGCATTTGAAATGGGGATAATTGCAATGGCATGGTGGTTTATATTAAAAACTCAATTCTTATTGTCTTGTTTCATATATAAAAATGTATAACTAACTACTAACTCTGTGTCTGTCTGTCTGTCCTTTTGTTTGTTTGTTTGTCTGTCTGTCTTGGCTTCTACCTACATTTTAGTTCAGTTAAGGTTTGTTTAAGGCTATTTTCAAAATGTGGTTCTGTTTTTTATAATTTTTTTTTGTTTCATATGCTGTTATTATTATCATTATTATTGTTCGTTTGCTTGATTTGGTACAAGTTGCCTCCTGAAAATTCAAAGTTTTGTTTTTTATATTATGGGTTTTGTTGTATTCATGTATTCATTCCTTTTTCTTGGTAGTTTCTTCTTTTATTCATGTACTAATGTTAATAATATAAGTTCAAATTACTCATATATATTTTTTTTAAATTTCGTTCTTTCATTTCTATCTGTTATTTTTTTGAGGTTTTTATTTGTTTTCTGTATTTGTGCTATATGTCTTTGCTAACAACAACAACAGCAGCAGTAGTATTAGTAGTTGTAGATGATTTCAACAAAATTTCAAATAAATATATAATTGGTCTCATGGTGATGAGGCTTCCGCTGTCTATATGAGTTTTTAATTTTATTAATTTGTTGTTGTTTGATTTTAAATTTCATTTCTAATAAAATTTAGTTTTTTTTCTGCTTTTTTCAAAAGCTAATGTGGGTTATGATTAAAGAAATTATAGGCATGTAATTTTACCTCTAACCAAAAATTTCAATTTAAATTGGTTTTTAATTTTTCAAAAAATTGTATGTTTCGTTTTCTTTGTTTAATTTTATAATTTAGGCCGTTTTTGAATTTAAATAAATTCTTTTGTTAGTTTTTAAATAAAACAAATCTTTGCAAATGTTGTAAAAATCTAACACAGTTTAAAAATGTTATAACATTACAACAAAACAAAAGACTTAAGACCCATACATATCTTTACATTAACATACAAATTGAGATAAATATTTGTGCTAACCAAGAAAAGAATCTTCTATGATTTCATTATATAAAAACGTTTTTCATTGGTAGAAAAATTCTTTGGTTAAAAAGCTTTAATTTGCAAAAAGTGTTTTGTTTGACGAATTATTTATTTATTAAAAAGTTATTGAAATATAGCTTTTTCATAAGAAAGCTTTTGTTTTATAAAAGAAAACTTTTTCTTTAAAAAGCTCTTGAAAGATTTATTTTTTAAAATTTTACTAAAAAATAGCTTTTTTATAAAAAAGCTTTTTATAATTAAAAGTTTTAATTATAAAAGTAGTTTTAAGAAAGCTTTAATTGAAAAATATTTTTTATAAAAGCTTTAATTAAAAAGTTTTTCTTATAAAAGCTTTAACTGAAAAAGCTTTTTTATAAAAACTTTAACTGGAAAAGCTTTAATCAAAAAAGCATTTGTGGAAAATAAAATATGTAAAAAAAACTTTTTATAAAAGCTTTTTTGTTAAAGGCTTTTATTAAAAAAGTTTTTAGAAGAAATCTCCTTTTTACAAAAGGTTTTATATGAACAAGTTATTTTTAAAAGCTTTTTAATTACCAAGAGCTTCAAAAAACATTTAAGTAAACAAGATTTTTAATTAATAAGCTTTTCATTAAAAAAAAACTTCTCCATCAAAGAATTCTGTCTTTTAAAAGCTTTTTCTAGTGAACAATAATATGTTGTTACTTAAAAGGCTTTTTCATAAAAAAAACCTTTTTAACCATAGAAAGAGTACTACATATCCCATTTAAAAGCTTTTTATTTGTAAAACCATTTTAGTAAAAAAGCCCTATTATGCATTTTATAAACAATCTCTATTTTAGTAGAAAAAAGCTTTTTCAGCAATGAAGTCTATTTAAAAAAAGCTTTGTAGCCGAAGGAAGAGTACTCCTTATTTTAAAGAAAAGCTTTTTTATTTGCAAAAAATTTTGTGTTTTACGATTTTTTTTAATTACAAAAAAATAGTTTTTTCATAAAAAAGCTTTTTTATTTTTGTAAAAAAACTTTTTCTTTAAAAATTTTTATTAAAACAAGATTTTTGTAAAAAAGCACTTTTTCGCAAAAGCTTTTTGAAAAGCTTGATATTGTTTGAAGCTTTTTAATTACCAAGTGCTTCGAAAGAACATTTAAGTAAACAAGATTTTTAATTAATAAGCTTTTTATTAAAAAAAAAAAACTTCTCCATCAAAGAATTCTGTCTTTTAAAAGCTTTTCCTAGTGAACAAAAAATGTTGTTACTAAAAAAGCTTTTTATTTAAAAACTCTTTAAACCTAGAAAGAGTACTACACATCTCAGTTTAAAGCTTTTTATTCGTAAAACCATTTTAGTCAAAAAGCTCTTTTTATACCTTTTATAAATAAGCTCTTTTTGCGCTTTAGTAGAAAAAAGCTTTTCCAGCAAACAAGAGTATTTTTATAAGCTTTTTGTAGTTAAACTAAAGGAGCTGTTTATTAGAAAAGCTTTCATGCCGAAGAAAGAGTACTCCTTATATAAAAGCTTTTATAAAATAAAATAAAAAATCATTTTGTACTTAATACAAAAGCTCTCCTTGAAATAAAGCTTTTTAGTAGACACGCTCTTTTAGTAAAGAGGATCACTTTCAAAAAGCTTTTAGTGAATAAAAAAGCTTTTTTTATTAAGAAAACAAAAACTTACCTTTAAAATACACCTTCCTTTCGCCTCATTCTCTGCCACAGTTATATTATAATAACTTTGCTCGAAAATCGGTTCATTATCATTGACATCGTGTATAGTTACCAAGACCGTAGCTGTCGACGACAAAGGTGGATGACCATTATCATGAGCCACCACTGTTAGCTGTGGTACCGGTTCCGTCTCGCAATCAATATGCGTTTTAGTAGTAATCAAACCCGTATATTCATCTATAACAAACCACTGCGAATGAGAATCGGGAGTATCCAGTAGACTATAGGTAACAGCTGAGTTATTTCCCTCATCTCTATCATAAGCATAGACCTGTATAACCGAGGTACCAGGATCAGAAATTTCCATAACATTAGCCTGATAAACTGAACGCTCAAATTCGGGAGCATTATCATTGATATCGGTAACACGCAAGTGTATGGTCTTGGAGGCATGCAGAGGAGGATTGCCGTTATCGGTAGCCACCACAGAGAGTGTATAGTTGGGTGTTAGCTCTCTATCCAAAGTCATGTTGACTATAACCAAATAGATAATATTGTCCCGTGTGGTCAAACCAAAATGACCATCTCCCCCATTAAGAGTAACATTAACATTGGCATATTCTGTTTTAGAATCAGGATCATGAACCGATATTCTGGCTACAAATTCACCCGGTTCAGCTGATTCGGATATTTTGGGGGTGGCATCATCACTAAGGAAAATAACATTAATGGTGGGTTGATTGTCATTAACATCGGTGACTTTTATGGAAACAAAAGCGGTAGTTTCCAAGGGAGTCTCACCATGATCTTTGGCCACTACCACCAATTCATGCAATTCCTTGGTTTCAAAATCCAAGGCCTTGTTGACAAAAATCCAGCCAGTTTTTGGATCTATACGAAACATTTGTTCTCTATCACTTTGCCTTCGATTAATAGAATACTCCACTAGACCATTTTCTTCAGCATCGGCATCTGTAGCATAGACCTGCAAGACCATGGTGCCTACGGTGGCATTTTCTGCTACTGTAGCAAAATAACGACTTTGATTGAATATGGGCTGATTATCATTGACATCTTGTATGGTTATGTTAACAGTCATTTGTCCCCTTAAAGGTGGACTGCCACCATCCAAGGCCTCTATGACCAGACTATAGAAGGGCGTAGTTTCACGATCCAAAAAACCATTGATTTGTAAGTCCAAATATAAAACACCATCACGTTCGCGATGCGATGATAAACGAAACGCATTATTCGTATTACCCGACACGATATTATAACGCTGAGTATTAAAACGACCGAGATCAAGATCACGCGCCGGATGTAACGTCCTTTTAACGTCTCGTGGTGTATTTTCGGGAAATTCAATATTCATAACCGCCGTCGGAAATGTGGGTGCATTATCGTTTTCATCATGCACCCTTATTAAGACACGCACATTTTCACCACTCAACGGTATGGCCACCAAACTATAGGAGGCTCTGGTCTCACGATCTAAACGCACTTTTGTTCTTATTTCTCCGGTAGTATGATCAATAGCTAAATCAGTATCAACACCACTACCCGGTACGGGTACAATTAAATACGGCGGTCCACTATCTACACCCGGTAATTGTTCGCCTATATAGCCGATTTGATGACCCACCGGTACACCTTCTGAAACATCTAGTTCTCGTATCAGTTCTGTTCGCGTTAGTGTTATATTTTGTAATAAAATTCCCAGAAATACTAATAATGGCCATCGGGACCAATGACTGTGGTTGGTGGGTGATGTATAACCAAATTTTATAATTCTTCTCCGATATCGATGATTCATGGTATATTCTGTTTGTTTTTTCAGTTTGCTGAATGTATTTGTATTTGTTTTGGCCTTAAAATTTATTATGTTTTCAGTCGTTTTCAATGGCAGTTTAATATTTGCCATTTTTGTGTATTGGTTTTATGGTTAATTGGTTTTAAAATAATAAAAACTAATGTTTAGTTTTTCAGGGTTTATTGTTTTTTCTAGTCTTGAGGGGTTTTAAGTAGCATTTGCTCTATTTTCGAGAGCGAGAAGCTACTTAATTTATAGTTTCTGTTATTTAGTTTAAGAGTTATTAAACCCTTTTTATTAAATGTTCGTTTTCGGAATTCATGTTGCTGCTGCTGTTGTCAATGATTCTAGCAGATATCATGTCATAACATTTTCGCTAAGATCTGTAAAAGAAAGTTGGAGACAAAAATTAGTGACTTCTTAAATTAAAAAAAAGTTAATAACGTGAGAGAGACAAAATATTTTACTGTTTAATCTCGATTTAAAAATGTCAAAAATGAATGACTATAAATCTTTTTGCAAGTTTCATCAAATTTTTTGCATGTTCCATCAAGTAATTTTCTATAGATATTATAAAAAACTTTTTTTAAGTCTTATTTCGAAAAGCTTTTATGAACAAATGAATTTCATAAAAAAATCTTAAACAAAAAAGGTTTAAACAATTATTAAGGGCACAAACAAAACACACTAAGCTTTCTCAGAATATTTTTTCAAAAAAGCTTTTTTACAAAAAAGCTTTTAACATATACTGAGCACAAAAAAAATAATGGAAAAACAATATTAAGCTTTCTTAAAACCTTTTTTTAATAAATACCCAAATCGAACTTTTTTTACACAATTTTTTTTCAAAAAGCTTTTTTACAAAAAAGCTTCCTCAAAAAGCTTTTTAATAAGAATTTATATAAATTGGTAGAAAAATTTAGCTTCGAAGCGTAAAAGCTTCTGTGAAGAATGAATATTGACAATAAATGTGTCTTAATTAAAAAAGCTTTTAACAAATATTAAACACAAGAAAGTATAGGAAAGCGATATTAAGCTTTTTTCAAAACTTTTTTAATAATTTCATAAATCGATCTTATTAATATAAAAACTTGATCAAAAAGCTTTATCAAATAGTTTTTTTTACGTATATAAAAGCTTTCCCCAAAGAACTTTTTTATAAAAGCTTTTTACATAACAGTTTTCTCGAAAAGAATTTTTTACATAAAAACTATTTCAACGAGTTTTTTCAAAATCAAATAAATAAACAAAGCTTTCTAATAAAAAAAACTTCAATGCAAAAGCTTTTGTAATTAACAAAAATATTAACAATAACGGTCTTAGCTAAACAAAAAGCTTTTTAACAAAACAGTTTTTTTAAAATTCGCACAAAAAGCTTTATAATTAAGCATTCTGAAAAAACATACATTTTTTAAAAAAGCTTTTTACATAAAAATGATTTATTACATAAAAATTTTATAAAATTTTTTTTTAAATTTTATAAAAATATTTTTCCAAATTTTTTTTTTAAATTTTTTTACTTAAAAGCTTTTTCAAAAGCTTTTTTATATAAATTTTTGTCAAAAAGCCTTTTGACTTAAAATATTTTAAAAACGTATTTTTCAAGAAAAGCTTATTTACAGAATGGTTTTTTACAAAGGAGTATTTTTTCTTAAAAGTACTTTTTAAGCGAAAGCTCCCATTAAGTTATTTTTTTCCTAAAACCTTTCTCAAATATTTTTTTACCTAAACGATTTAGTACAAAAAGCTTTCTCAAAAAGCTTTATAAAAGTATGTACTAAAATATTTAAAGCTAATTTACTTAAAAGCTTTACCAAAAGCTCCCATTAAGTTTTTTCCTACAATTTTTTCCGAATAGCTTTCTTACATAAACGATTTATAAATAAGCTTTTTTACATACAAGTTTTTTTCAAAAGCTTTTTTTAAATTCTAATATATTTACAGAAAAGCTTATTTACTTAAAAGACTTTCACAAAAATGTATATTTTTTTCAACAGTATTTTTATAGGGATGAAAACTCTTCTAAATATTTACTACAATTGTTAAGAGCAAAATCATTAAAGAAATCTTTCTGGCAAACAAAACTTTCCACCTAAAAGCTTTTCAATATAAGAATTATATGACTATTATTTCTTCAAAAAGATTGTGAACATATAAGCTCTTAAATTGTTTTTTAAGCAGAAATTATTTACTAAAGCTTTCTAACATAAAAGTACTTTAAAGAAAAAGCTTTTAAGTGGAAAGGTTAAAAAGAACATTAAGTTCTTAAGCAGAAGTTATTTAATAAAGCTTTCTAACACAAAAGTACTTTAAGCAAAAAGCTTTTTAGGGGAAAGGTTAAAAAGAACCTCAAGCTTTTTAATATTATTATTGTTTTGAAAGAATAAGCTTTTAAAATCTGTTTCTTTTTAACGGAAGTTTTTAAAAAAGCTTTTTAACACAGAAGTACTCTAACCAAAAAGGTTATTAGTGGAAAGATTAAAAATAACCTCAAACAAACATTAAAAAGAACCTCAAACAGAAGGTTTCTAACACAAAAGTTTTTTAATCAAAAAGCTTTTTAGGGGAAGATTTTTAACCTCAAGAAAATGTAGTTTATTTCTTTGCTTTAATTCATCCCTTCTCCCAAAAAAGAATTCTTAGCTTCTGTTTAAACTTTAAAGCAAGGTCAAATAGCAAGCAATTTGTCTCTCAATTTAAACGCCTACTGGGAGCGGCTAGTTCTTACAAAAAAATTATAATTTTTCATTCAGTAGTGTTTTTTTTTCTCTTTCTTAAGAATTTTGTTTTCAAGTTTAATGTAAATGCTTCGGATACTACATTTTTCAACAAAACATTTTGTACAAAATGACATTTTTTTCATATTTTAATACAGCTAAGCTTTAAGCTGTTAATACTTACAAGTTAATGTTCTAGGCACGGAAATGTCATTATATGAAATGTTTTTAAATGTTTTTTTATAAAAAGAGCAAAAACAAACAAAAAAAACTGCAACAGTATTATGATTATTGACTTGTAACTGAGTTAACGTGTGAGAGGAATAAATAATTATTTAATGTCTGCAAAAAATAAAAACTATACATATATGCATAAAAGATAACAACGATTAACAAAAGGCTTAAGAAAACGACAGCAATATAATAAATTTTTAAATTATATCTATAAAATAAGAAAAACATAAATAAGATAAAATAAACTGCTAGTTAAATACATTTCACAAATTCTAAACAATATTAAACAAAACGTTTTCAAAATAAACTCCATATATTTTTTCTAAAAAGGATAGAAATTTCAATGATAAACATTTTTAAGTGTCATTTAAAAGTGTCTTAATAATGGCATTATAGTATAGACCACTGCACACCAGACTCCGGTCTGTGCTTATAGACTTTGATTGTAATATGTTTTAGAAATTGTCATTTAATTATAAATCATTAGACAGAGCTTTATGATTAAACTAGACTTCCTTCTCGGACCAGAGTAGTTATAAACATAAAACTAAAATGTTAAACTAACACTTTTGTAAAACACATATTCTGTCTATTTTTTTGCTATTAAGATCATTAAATTTGCAATCATTTTATAAACATATGTATGTATGTACGTATGAATATGGAGAAAAAAATTTAAATTAAAAGCTATTAATTTTCTTAACCTGTCTTTAAGACTCTAAATGAAGGTGGTGTTTGTTTTTTATGAATATTAATTGATATTATACTGAAGTACGGTTGGTAATACAGTGAGGAGCAAAATAAAAAGGAAAAGCAATACAAAATCTAAATAAAATATTTCAATTTCCTAAGTCAGCAACAAAAGCTCTTATTTTTCTAAATTTCCTTATTTTCTTACACACTGTTCACATTCAATTCAATTACTAATAAAATATTTTTCAATAATTTATTAACAACATAAACCTAAATGATGTTAAATAGATTTGTTTTATTTAATACTACTTTTTTCAAAACAATTTTTAATACAACCATTACTACCATAAACAAGCAGGGGTGTTATACTTCAAGAAAAACAACAAAAAAAACACAAACAAGTTTGCTACTTAAGTCTTTTGTTTACAACTAATAGAAAAACACTACAATGTTAGACAAACCACCACCAAACACCGTTAGTTGTTTAAAACACTTTACACAAGATTAATTATCGTTTAATTAAAAAATTCTGTTTCCTTCTACTAAAAAAAATAAAGAAACAAAATATTAATTAAAATAATTAATTATATATAAATAATAATTCACTTTTGGTTACAAAACTACTCAAACGAAAATAAAATAAAAAAAAATTTCACTTGTTTCACATTCTATTAACTTGAAGGTGTTAACAATTTGCCAAAACAACTTGAAAATTTTCGACCAAATTCGTTTATGAACATTTTGTTTCTTTGCCGTAATTTAAAAAAATATTGTTGTTAATTAATGTTTGCTTAAATATTTATGCGTTTTTACACGAAAGCTTAAACATATTTGCGTTTTTCTCTATTTTTTTCTTTATATTTCTGCTTTCAATAAGATACAATATGAAAATAAAAGTTGTATGTAACATGCAATGTTTTTATATTTTTGTTGTTTTCAGCTTACATGTTGATTGTATGGTTTATGATTTTATTAAATGTTTTAATTAATTAAGTGCTATTGGTTTAGGTATGAATAAATAAATTTGATTAACTATTTGCTAAGAAATCTTTAAAAAAATTCTCACGTTTTTATTGGAATATCTAATGCCGTAAAGATAAGGAATTTTGTTGGGCTAATGTAGAAAAATCAAGGCAAGATTTCACAAAAATTGTGGGAGTCAAAAGATGTTTGTAAATCAAGCAAGCGTTCCTAATACGGATCCAAATTTCATAAGAACTGAACTAGAACTGAACTAGAACTGAACTAGAACTGAACTAGAACTGAACTAGAACTGAACTAGAACTGAACTAGAACTGAACTAGAACTGAACTAGAACTGAACTAGAACTGAACTAGAACTGAACTAGAACTGAACTAGAACTGAACTAGAACTGAACTAGAACTGAACTAGAACTGAACTAGAACTGAACTAGAACTGAACTAGAACTGAACTAGAACTGAACTAGAACTGAACTAGAACTGAACTAGAACTGAACTAGAACTGAACTAGAACTGAACTAGAACTGAACTAGAACTGAACTAGAACTGAACTAGAACTGAACTAGAACTGAACTAGAACTGAACTAGAACTGAACTAGAACTGAACTAGAACTGACTAGAACTGAACTAGAACTGAACTAGAACTGAACTAGAACTGAACTAGAACTGAACTAGAACTGAACTAGAACTGAACTAGAACTGAACTAGAACTGAACTAGAACTGAACTAGAAACTGAACTAGAACTGAACTAGAACTGA